CGGGCCCGGCAGTAAAAGCCAACTTGAAACTGAAAAACAAAATATCGTTGCTGAGGCCTTGATCAAATATACACATTAACCAGTTGCGAATGGCATAAAACAATGAAGCTTCGTGTGTAAGAGAGCTTTTTATATTTGTTGCTAAGCTCAAAACTACAGAATAGGCTATTTTTACTGTGCACACCACAAGTATCAAACCTTGATTTTTAGAGTTATAAGCTCTAAGACGTACTGTTGAGCTACGGGTGTAGAGGTGGGGTTGGGTGAGGAATGCAGGAATAAACTGAAAAAGTTATACAGGTAAGGTAGAAAAGGAAGTTACAAGTATTTTGTGTGTTGTAAATTGTTATTGAATAAAAATGGGCCGGGCGTAGCCTATTGGTTATTGTGATTGTACTTTGAATCTGAGGATTCATAGTTTGCTGCACGTTGTCGCAAAAACTGGCTCTGTGGGTGCGAAATGAGAGTGACAGTCAAACCCCACTCTTCGGTCAACAAGAGTAGCTCAAGAGCCCGTGATGGGCTCTGATCGTTCTGTTGGCTAGCTGCCTTCCCTCTAGTCTATAAGTTCGAAAGTAGGGACGGCTATGTGCAGATCGCCATCGAGTAACTTTGCGCGATAACTGGGAAACAAGTTTTCTGAATAAAAGATTTACATCTACTCTTGAGGCACTTAGAAAATGTAAGTAAGTGTTGTTAAATCCAATAACAGCGAGTAAACGGATTTTCAGTTGAATGAAATGGAATAAGAGTTACAAAATGAATATTATAGCCAATACAAACCTCCAGTTCAAAAAAGAATGGCATACGTAGGAATCATCTAATTATTCGCATCGAACTGATTATTTTAGTGAAATAACTTTTTACATTTGAAATTGTGCAATGTTAATCGAAAATAATTTAAACTAAATATAGTGAGTATTTACTAGAAAATGTCTTGTAAGCGAGTATTTACTAGAAAATATCTTGTAAGCGAGTATTTATTGAAGTACTGCAAATTTATAATCGCTTCTTTTATCACGGAATTATATGTTTATATTTAAATCAAAATAGCACCAAAAATGGCTCGGTAATTTTTGTAAGTCATTAGATCTTAAAGGAAATCGTCAAATATATCTAATTACGTTACTAAATCTGTACACATTAGGACAGTTTATGGTAAAATTTGATATTTAATTAAAGATAGGTGGCTTTGTTATGTTTCGACTGTATGTAATTAGCACCTACTGGAACACCTTTTAAATCTATATAAATATAATAGTACTATCTGTTGTCTGTCCATATAACTATTTCTCAGGGTGCAGGTGGATCTTCACCAAAACTGGTATGGAGGTTCATTAGATCCACGTGGGAGGGTACATACACATTTTCAGTTTTGCAGTTTGCAATTTTTATGGGCGTTATTTACAATTACATATAATGGAAGCAACTTTTCATGTCCTAAGATAACCTTTCATTAATCATGAATTTACATAACTTCCTTCCAGGAGACGAGTATACCAGCTATAATTTCCTTCATAAATTTACTCATTTCCTTCTTTTTTGTTTGTTTGTAGTTA